CAGGGTTCGGATCCGGATAGGGGGGGGGGACATTTTATTCGATAAAAATTGTTCTCCTTTCACATTTTTTCCTGCTCTCTAACAAGGTTCAGTCGTCTGCTTTTGTCTCCACTTTCTGTCCCCACCCCCTCACTTCCTCTCGGCCCCTTACTCTTTCTGCAGCCTTTCTACTGCTACTCCTTCTTACTGTTGTCTGATAGGAAAGATCTGCACCTAGCCTTCTCAGACAAGGGCAAAAAATCTTGGAGGCCCCGTTTGCAAGTTGCGCACGTTAAAGATCCCTTGGTGGTTAAAAAAAAAGAGATAAGAGTAGGCTTCGGCAACCACCCAGGCAAAAATTCAAAATTTCCTACCTACTGGAAATGTTTAATGTGTCCCACTCGTTCGTGCGACCGTATGCTAAAAGGGTTGCGAGGGGGAGACAGAGAAGAAAAAAAGAGAAAGAAAGAGAGAAAGAGAGAGCTGGAGAGTGAGAAAGAGAAAGAGAGGGAGATAATGAAAGACAGATAAGAAAGAAAGAGAGAGAGAGATAGACAGAGAGAGAGAGAGAGAGAGAGATAGACAGAGAGAGAGAGAGACAGACAGAGACACTGAGACACACAGACACACAGAGACACACAGAGACACACAGGACACAGACTCACAGAGACACAGACACAGAGACAAATATTATGCCTGCTTGTTGTCTTAGATAATTTCGACTACACTTACAATATCACTCCCTCCTAAAATCCTCCCCACTCCTCCCTTCCCCCACGCAGCAGAACCTTGCCCTCACTCCTCACCCGCAGAAGCCGTGACGTATGAACTGGTAGAGGCCAATGTTCTGAAACTGGGCGACCTGTCGCTCCCTGCCGTAGATGTCCACTAGTGTTGAGTTGACAAAGAAGGCTTGGCGACTGTGCCGGGAGAGAAAGACAATTGACTAAATGTTTTACGAACACATACGGCCATGCACCCACATCGACAAAATCACCATTTAAGTCATATTATAAGTACTGAAGATTAGGAGTTACTGGGGGAAAACATCCAAGAAAAGGAAGGAGAGATTAAGACGATACACGTTTGGTAGGAAAGAAGGAGCATACCATATCTGGGCAACCACCAACCATCTACATCGACAATATCAGTCAGAAAGTGTGTCTGTCTATCGCGGTTAATCCGGACTAAGTGAGATACTCTACAGAGAACTTCCTCGCACAGAGAGCACAAGAGATCGCACTCATGCCTTCTGTGTACATCGGAGAAGGGACTTATCATTACACCACAGACGCCGGAGGAAAAGGAGAGGGTTTCTTTACAGATCGTTGACAGTTTAGAGTTTTTGAGCACTTGTAAAACAAACAGGTCATAATATCATCATCATCATCATCCAGTGTCAGATCTGCGGCAGACATCAGCGATCATGGTTCTCCATTCATTTCTTTGCTCGAATGCTCCTAAAAAAAGCTACATTTCCCTTATCTTTCCCTCTTACCCATTTGTTTAGGTTACCTAAGTAGTTTGCTCTGGGCCTTACCGCTGCCAGGGTCGTAATATAAGAGTTGAAAATTAGGTGATATAGCAAAGTAATTTACAAAGAATAGAAGAAGGAAAGTAAGCACGATAAAGTGTTTGATAGGAAACAAGGAGCAAACCAGACTGCAGCACATGTCAACCGCTCACAAGGTTGTGTATCAGAAAAGTAGCGCTATGAAGCTGTTAAGGGACAATATCAACAATGTTGATTCTAAAGTAAAACAAATGTTCAGCTTGAAAACAAAAATATGTCCAAAAAATTATAATTGCCATTTAGTGCTAAAAAAGCGAGACAGACGGACAAAAGAAAAGAGGGATAGTAAAGAAATAATATCTACAAGTATCACCCTCAGAACCATCCTCGAAGTAGAATGAAAACATATAAGATCATAGTTTAGCACCTGTCAGAATGACAGCACCATTTTTCAAAGTAGATAATTGAAACGACGAAAAATTATGATAAAAAAGAACACTCGACACCACCCAACCACCTGCTTTTTCCCAGGAATGGAGCTGTTCGTTTGAGAGAAGAGAAGCACATCGACTCAATAATGGCCATTTAGTGCTGGGGAAAAGTAAGACAGTCGGACAGAAACAACAGAGAGAAGGTAAAGAAGTAGGATCTACCAGTGGCGCCCTCCAACCACCCGCGAAATGGAGCTGAAGAATAGCACAACTTGGCATGGACTAAATGAGGCCAACGACACCAGTCATTTACAGCATCAAGGAAACAAACGAAAATTCGATTATTTGGTGAATTAACATCTCTTTAAAGAACGAAGAGCAAAATGCCTGCGTGGTCCGGGACACACCTAATGGGACTTACAGGTGGGGGCTGGAACTTAATCTGGCGGGTACTCAGAACTGCCTAACTACCCAACAACCCAGCCACCCTACACAAGTTGCACCCGCTACTCGTCACAACAGCCATCACACACCATACCCCCCCCCCCCGGTCTTCATACCCACACAATGTCATGTTTGGCGACCAAAGTACTCACGTAGCGCAACACTGGTCAGATAGATCGACATTGGATGATTTTATGCCGAAATCTGAAAAAAAAGATTAAATTAAAACACAACAACAACAAACAAACGCCCCCCCCAAAAAAAACCCACAACCAACAACAACAACCAAAAAAACAACAACAAATCAAAACAACCCCCTCCCCCCACAAAAAAAAACACCAAAAAAAACCTCGGGTTGTCGGGAAGGATAGAACCATAAAAAACAGAATGTTTGATCAGTTGAAGTTTACAGCATATCAACGAGACAAAAAGTGACATTTCTCAAAGAACAGCAACACAAACAAGAAGTTATTGAGAACTTGCATTACTACAGATCAGATACTCAATGCCCAGAAACAGTTTAGTTTTAGTAGAGGTTTTACGGCGGCGGCAACTGCATAAGGTCATAATTTGAGCACCAGAAGATTAGGTGTTACAAGAGAGAAACAAACAAAAAAGAAGGGGAGATAAGGACGATAGATGTTTGATGGGAAAGAAGAAGGAATCCACACCAGAGCATCCACCAACTACCCACGCCCAGAAACAGGTTGAGAGGCAGGAGCATCGACAAATAGACAAGAAGTGCTAAGCACAGACCGCCCCAGAGTACCCATGACCAGTCAAAAAGTTCTTCACTCACAAATCACAAAGCTGTCCACTCATTATTCACTAATAAAGTTCTCCACTCTCCATCCACTCACCAGTTTCTCCATTCACCAATCACAAAGTTCTCCACTTAATCACAAATAAATGTGCAGTCACGAAAAGCAAGAGCAGAACAAATGACAACCATCGCGACCTTTTATTTCTCCATTTCACAAATCCTACCTTGATGAGATCATCTGATAAGTATAAAGTTGCGTATGTGATGTGTCAGTTATTGTCAACATAAAACTATAACAAGGCTAATTCTGTTAACGGTAGACTGAATTGTTATTTTTTTTATAGATCACCTCTAGAAAGGAACAGCGATATATTGATAACGACAGATACGTCAGCGGCAATTACGAAAGAAACCAACAACCCCCAAACTTCACCCCGATTCGCCCACCACGACACCACAACATAAGACGTACCTGTCTCCCGTGCTGACCCTTCAGCATCCTCCACAGACACTCCCAGCACGTTCCCGTCATTGTCATAGATCGTCCTGGCGTCCGGCCCGAGACCAATGAGAAGTTCGTCCACGGACAGATTGAACTCAATGCCCTGTTCTGGTTTATCTAGCGGGCAGATGAAGTCTTTGGCCTTCTTAGATGACTGTCCGTGGTGCCTTTTAGGGATGAAATTCTGTGTGTGCAGAGGACCTGGCGGGGGAGAGGAAGGGGGGG